GGTAATCCATTTCAGTGTATGGTAATTAGAAAATTATACTTTGAAAATTCCACAATCCACCTGCAGCCTTGCTGGAATGGAGCTGTGATGAATATGGATGGCATGTATAAATGGATGATGTGGATTATCCACATGAATAAAAATTATATGGCTTGAGGGGGGGACTTATGAATAAACCTAAATTTTAAATGTGACTGCTGTAGCTGATGGGTCAGTTAGTTTTGAAACCGTCTCAAATACTTTTTCCGTTTATTCATCACGCACTTATCAAAATGGTCAAGTGTTGGTTAAAAATTTGTTAAACCTTTTAATATAGGCAGTGTACTACTTGCACTTGGGTACTTTTTATTGGTACTTATACACTTATTCTTCGAAATGGACTCTCGTACAACACTGCCTCATAAAAAATCTGTTCATTCATACTGAATGTTAGCCGTATAGGGTAAGATTTTGTGTGGGGCCCTTAAGTGTGATGTGTTTGACGAGTAGAAGCATCAACTGTAAAATCTGAGATTCCTCTCCCATGGTGAAAAAAGTCTTTGATTTGAATCAGTGTGCTCAATCTGGAACCATCATGTGTAGATCTATATCAGTTTTCTCAAAATGAAGGTTGTGAAATGATGTTATCTGTTTCAAGTGGACAATTTTGACACATGAGAAAACAAGCTGTTGAAGGATTTAAACTCCAAAATGATGTCAGTATTATTCATCCCAAAAAAACCCCAGGAAGCTTTAAAAAGTCAACATGGTGATTTTGGTGCGGAAATGGGAAGAAAAGTTTGCAACCATTCTCCCCTTGCTACTAATTGTTCTCAGTGAAGTGTGATGGGAAATTAATCATCCGAGATTAAAGTAACCCATGTGGACCAATTGAGAGTTGCCTTAGAATACAGCCTTGAAGTGCATTGATAGTGCAGTCAATGCCATCAAGCGATTCCATTCGTCTGTTGGTAATGGCTCCCACAGCACTGTTCTTAACATTGTTCCTCAACTGATTCTCCTCAGCTGGTATCCCCCAGGCCATGGTGACATTTACCAGTCATTCTATGACTCGGAGCTGCTAGAATCCTTCCTCAGGCAAGGCAAAGAGTACATGTTCATCTCCAACATTGACAATCTTGGTGCTACAGTCGACCTCAGTATCCTTTTTGTTTGACACAAACTAGCACAGACCACTTTCTATCTTTCTGTGACTTGATGTTATTGCACATGTCCTTCAAAGTTTGGGAAGCTGCATTAATTAGTTGATGAAGAAAGCATTAATTACTTGCCCCATGTGTGCCAACTCAAAGCGTACTAGGCGTGGGGTGAATTCCGGGAGATCGTGGATCGATATCATTATGACCCTGTCATTGCGTATTTGCACAGTGCATTGCGAGCTAGGGTTGCAAAACAACTGGCTTGACACTTAACAAATTATGGTATTGTAGGTGTCAGGAACATCGCACAGTTCTGTAACGATAGAAAACATGAAACACTAACTTGGAGGCAAACGTTAAATTCACAGTAGAACCAATGTTTTTTCACTGCCAAATCGGGAGCGTATGGTGCTGAGGCTTACATGTAGTTGTTAGAGGATCCTGGCACCTAGGTCCCACCTCACAAATCACAATTGAAAACTGACTGGGTTGATTTATATTCAGTGTTCATAATCACAGAAATTGACCTGAGTGGGGTTTGAAAATGCCACTCAAAAAATATCCAACTGCCCTCTGCCTACTGAGCTACAGACCTTCCATCCCTTTTCCACAATATCCTACTGTGTGTGTTGCTTCGTTTACAGAACGTTTGTCTCAAGCAGGGATTTGACTTCTAAAGTTATATGTATCTGGATTTTAAGATTTTTGATCCCAAAGCGGCATATTAAGAGATATAACCAAGGAAGATTTTGCTATTTTTTTGCACTTTAAGACAAAAACTTGAGTGGAAGAGTTACATAATGACAGCCCTTTGGGAGAATACATTGCCTTCTCAGCCATGCGAAACCCTGAAATGTCACAGTATTTTTGTCAGTTGTCATGGTTGTCATTGTCACAGCCCCTCTGCTGGATATACAGTCATTTGCAAAAGTTTAGGACCACCCATAGAAAATGCATTAACCTGAAGGAAAACCAAACTTAAACCGATCAATCATGGCAAATTATGTTTATTTTCAATGTGTAACCTTGGTACCTTGGTTAAACCTTTTTGACTACCTTTCGATGATTTGACATGTTAACAGTCTAATGTTCAGTGTGCCCTCCCTTATTTCTGATTGCTTAGATTGGCTTTTTTTACCCATGCTGCCTAGCAGACAAAATGTCATACAAGACCTGCCTTTGCAAAAAATTTCATTCAAACGGGTATATAGCACTACACTGATGTTATGCACCACTGTAAAATCATGTTAAGTAATCATTAAGGGAGACAGTGTAATCAAAGATCGTATAGCGCCGCGTAGCGGCGTAAGATGAGGAACTTCACCATGAATACTCGTAAAACGTCGTCACATGGGCGCCATTCTGGTTGCCTGTGCATTAAACGGCACTGCGCAGGCGTAGGCGCCGTGACAGGCACATGCACACATATTAACGATCACACTCGAATGGCGCCCATGGTGAGAACACCTTTATGGCCGAATTACCCATCTTGCGCGGCTATGCGACGCTATATAATCTTTGGTGTAATGCAGGCCCAGTGACAGAAATACCAATAAAATTCAAGGTGGTCTTAAACTTTTGCAAATAACTGTAGTGTTGAATTTTCCAACCCCCCCGTCATCCCTACACAAGTCATGATTCATCATCATCACTCCTTACTGAACTGGATTATGCCTATCCACCCCCAAACCTCTTCAGGAATTTATAGTGTCAGCTGGCATTGTTTTATCAGTTTCTGCTATATGATTGATTGCTCCGGTTCACATTGACTTTTTCAATTAATTGTTGCCATGAAAATTGCACCTTTTTCCTTTCTGGATGAATAAATGGGTTAGAAATGGGTTGTGAAAGTAGGCATCCTGAACATGTTCTAGCACCAAGTCAATAGCAATATTTGCTGGCATAATGGGATTTTCTGTGGTTGCATATAACAACAGCTGCACAACTCCTTTCATGTGGAGGCGTGTTTAATTTGTAGCCGCATAAGGGATGACGGTGCCAGCTGTCAATTTGGATCAAGTACGCCCAGTATTGTTTTGCACAATGGCAAATAGTAGCCACAGCTGTGCATGCCATTTTTTTTAGAAAAGTTATTAATTAGTTTGAGTGCTTGATATTATATATGTTCTGACAGGGTCGGACTACAGTGGTAAGGAAAGGTTTAAAAACCATCAGTTTTGCAGAGTGTTTGTATTACTCATTTCAACATGGATATGTACATGCGGTTTTTTTGGGGGGGGCGGTTGTGAAAACAACAGTGTATTTCAGGTTCTACACTATGCAAATGTATATGGGGATAAAAATGGAATACTCTGATCTTATGACAGGAAGGCAACACGCTTCCGATGTTATTTCCTTAATGCCGCTTTCACAGAAATTCTGAATTTGCTGGTGAAGCAGAAGCAGCGAGAATTTGTAATGGAAGTGACAGACAAGACGAGGGCAGACATAAAGGTTTGTCTCACACACTCGTCCATAAGTAAACAGCAGGCTACAGTGTGACGGTGTGCGTAGTCTAGAGTCAAATTGCTGTCCTGTTTAGTGTGCCAGCTGGGTTGTCTTGTTTGTAGTGTTTGAAAGGGTCTCTGTAAGCAGGGCCGCCTCTTTTTATGTAATCCAAGGGACTTCGGCCGTGAACCGCAGTTCAACCACTGGCCAGTTATCTTTTACTAAATACATGCATGGGATACAGTCGAACTTGAAAGACCCCAGTTGTTTAGCAAAATCCTCTCATCGCTCACTTTTTGCACTTGGTTACATCAAGGCCTCCGCCATTTTGCACAATTGTCCCATGCCAGTGGTTCCACAAGACAGGTCGCTGAAATCCAATGATGTAACCATGCCCCCACCACCTGGTTAGATGGTCGACTGGATAGCCCATCTGTAATGCTCCATGGATCTCAGACTGAGGATTGGTTTACCATTCCACAGTATGAAACAGCAGTTTTGGTTCTATAACAAGTCACCCACAGAGTCTGCCCAGTTTACAATTGGGGAGAGTAAAGTGATGAGCTGTTCCCTCCATTTTGTTAACCATATATAAAAATGTCTCATTAACATGTGTTGAATTTAAAAAAGGGCACTTGACTATTGAGAAAGGAACTGTTTGCATTTATCCCATTCAATTTGTGGTAAGTAGGCTAAATCAAGAGATACAAGAGTGACAGACCAAGGTTTACATTGTATGCTGTGCCCCCAAACACACATCTGGGTACCATTCAGTGGTGGTTGCTGAGGACGCAATACACCTGTTGCAGGAGGCATGGTTCTGTTGAAGAACAAGGTTCCATGCTATAAACTTTTTGGGGTGTTGGTACGCAAATAGTCAAGATAATTAGTGTTATGTGATATGCAAAATGGTGATGCTGTCGTTCGTTTTAATGTTTCTGGATGGTGTGCTCTAAAACACAAAACACTAACATTTTGGTGCGTACATGTACAAGATAACTTGTTGTGCCTCTCTGAGTCAGAGAGAGTTAACAGGTTACTCCAGCTCTGCATTAACCAAACATTTGATCGGGCTGTTTAACAAACACCACAATATTTCTTTCCTGTACCTTGGGCAGAGTAGTGTCTAAGACCTGTGGAACACTTAATTCAGTCTTACAAATGTCCTGATTTGGATAATGCTTGACAGCAAAGATGATAGATGGCAGGAAGAGTCTTGTGGATGATTTGACGTAATACTCAGAGCATGCTTGCAAAAGATTCCAGTGGCCTGAACTGTTGTATTTTTTCATTGGGAAACTGTGAAATATGACAGCATTCTTGCACAGCAAAATTGAAGACCGTAATTTTTCGGGGGCCCCATACCTCAAGTATTGGGGTTGATAAACTAGCTATAAAGTGGCTGCAAAATGGTTCCAAGAAATTTGCAATGGACTGAATGCAATATGCAGGGCAATTTGTCAGAAATAACGATGGTTCATCAGGCACTGTGAAACATGAGATTGTCCTGTCAAAGCACAAATGAGTTTATTCATGTGCTGGCCATATGGAAATTGCAAGTGAGGTGAACTCTACCCTTTTAAGGGTGAGGGAAGAATTGAAAGCAGTACAATTAAATTTCCTGACTAATGAGTACATGTACCTTTTCTTGTGAATAATTACAAATTTATTAAACATACGTTAATGGTTTCAACTCGATTTGAAGAAACAATTGAAATGCTTGGAACACACACCTGTCATAAAATAGTCTGTTGCCAGCCATCCTAATCAACAGCTGAAAATTTATCGAAATGAATCAGGGATTTAGATCAAAATGGTTTCCTTGTAAATAAAAGTCTATGGATGACAGTAATTTTCTTAGTCCCTGAATTTGTACTGCTTTGTAATGTCTAGTGTGCAGTAACATTGAAAAGCAATTGATCTGAAAACTCAAACTAACATGCCACACTACAATAAATAAAATGAAAATATCAAACCACCAGTGAACTGCTGACTGGAGAATATATTTGACCAACAATAAAAGGTTAGCTATCAGAATACTGTAAATTACATTTATGTTACTTCAGGTTAGCTGTCAGCTCATGTCAGCTCCGTGAAAATTAATTTGGTGTGAATGTGGTCAGCGGGGAGTTCTGACCTTTTTGCCTCTTCAGAGTTATTGTCATGTACTGTAACAAAACATATTCAGCCCTGCTCAAAATTTTTGCTTGAAAACTTTTGAGTAATAAAACTAGAGATATTAAACTGGCAACTTTAGAAAGATCTGTTTCCAAAATTTGTTTCCCCTGATCTGCTCCACTGTGTACTGTGTGCACTTTGGGTTTAGCTGTTTATTACTTGTAGATATGAATATTTTCATATACTTGTTTCTTTCAAGTGCCCTTCTGTCCTAAAAAAAGGTTTTACTGATGTAGCACAGATAAGATCATGGTGGTATTTTCATGTAATGACCTCTATATCATTGCTATCTCTCATCTGTTAATATTGACCTTTGATACTCAAACACCATTTTGCTTTGTCCACTTAAAATATCTTTCCATATTATCGGTGAACTTTAAACTTTGGGGAGATGTACTTGTTTATAACTTTGTTAAAATACATGTTAACTTTAATCCAACTGTCTGATACATGTAGGTGGCATCAAAGATTCTAACCGTAAGAATAATAGCAATGTTTGAACATCTGTTATTTAATTATTAATTTTTTCAGAGGATCAGAAATCAAAAATGCTTTTCAGGTGAATTTTTTTTGCCTAAATTGATAGGTTTGCTGCTTGTTTGACCTGAATTCTGTGGGAAGTGTGCATAGCTGTCTTAGGTTCTGTGGAATGCAATTTCTCACAGTTATTCGTATGATGCTAGGGTTGATAAAGTGGCAGTAAATGATTCCAGAGAACATCCTTAGGGCTGAGCTCAACTTACATGGCAACATGCCATAAACTATATGTACTATGAGTCATTTTGACACTGTGAAATCTGAAAATGCAGATGTACCTGTACTTTCAAGGCACAATTTATGACATTAATTTTTTTAGACTTGAAAAGTTTGCTCCCAGTGTGTGAGCTTCATGGAACAAAGATGTTATAAGTTGCTCTTGTACACAGTTTAGGGATCAAGCCTTAAAAGTTAAAGGTGACCACATTGTGTGCAGTTGTTTTGAACCATTAGCTATCTCATGCCCAATCTTTTTGAAGTTTGTCATGCATCTGACGTACATTATGAGTACATTGTGGCTTAGACTGTGAAGTTTAAATTCAAACCAACATAGGTTTTGATATTATGGTCATAAATGTAATTTATGGTCTGACGTGTGTTTAGCATTAAACCTGTGTGAAAAGCAAATTTTTGGAGCTGATCTGTCACAGAAAAAATAGGCATTTCATGAAAAAAGTCAGAGAAAATGTCGAGGGTGGGTACATGTTGGGGTCAGTAAATTCAAATACATTCAAATGAGGTATTTGCTCTTGGTATATATTAGGGTTGCCGGCTGAAAATGAGCATGTCAGGATGAAGTCTGGCCTCATTCCAGGTGGAAAGGATTACTTTCAGTTTCATATTTGTACAAGATCAGACTCACAAAGCCATATTGTCAAAAACCTGAATCGATTTGGGGAGAAAGGAAAAATAAGTTCCCCCAAGTTCATTGGTTTGAGGACAGTCAGTTTAAGTATTGCAACTCTGTCCTGATTCTGCATGGATTTTCTTTCAGTCCACAATGTTCAAGGTCGGTCTAGGCGTAGCAGATCGTACCTTGGCCGTTTTCCAATACTCAACTTCGTCTCCGGCTTCGTGCAGGAAACCAATCCCCAATTGTGGGCCTGAAGCATTTAACTTAAATTGAAGTACTCTAATGTTTGGCTCTTTTGCATCTTACTTGATGTTTTGTGGCACTATCAGACTTACTATTGCGCTTACAACCTCAAAGTCAGGAAGTAAAAAAAAAACAGTTGAAGCCTGAGACGGATCCCAAGTTGAGTATTGGAAAACGGCCCTGCTATTCTTAATTGGGGGCTCTTTCACCTGTTGGTCTGTCTTTTGCTTTGTCAGGGTGGGACGCTGATCCAGTATGAAAACAAATTGAGGCTACTGGAAATTGCCCAAGTGCCAAAAGAACATGTAAGTTTTTCCTTTCAAAACTGAATTTGAAATACTGGACAATATTGAAGAAGTGCAGGGGTTTGGTTTTATTCATTTCCTTTGTTCACCCTTGTTTTTCTTTCTTTTCTTTTTCCTTTGTTCACCCTTGTTTTTCTTTCTTTTCTTTTTCCTTTAAGGTGGTCCATATTCATAAACTTAATCACATAGTTTCTGCAGATGGGGTTCTTTAATTTTTTTTTAAATAGAAGTTGATACAGATATTTGTGTATGTCTAGTCCAGGCTCCTTTTTCCTGTTTTATCGTAAGCATCATAAACTCAGAATCACACATGTAGGAACAGAAATTAAATACATGTACATTTTCCCCTTCACATATAGGTGGACGAGTTCAAGTCCGTTTCCAAGTTCAAGTAAGTATTTACAGAAAAGTGAGATCTGAAATTTGTAAGATATCAGATAGTTTGAGAACTTTTCTAAGATTCACAAATTTGCAATTACTTTAAGCAAACCACCTGCCAATCAAGGTAGTGTCAAGATATGAGCTTTTCACAGATTAGAAGTCACAATATGTTTTGGCATTTGTTCTTTTAGTAGCCTCAAGTATCACCCAATCCAAGTTCACGGCCTGTTTGCTAAGCATTTTGGACTCCGTATGACCCTCTTGCTCTTGTTGCTTTGGTTAACTGAGATTTCTGAAGCGGACTTCTTACGTTCTTCTTTCACAAACTCTACTAACACCACGCACATCTAGCTCCTGATGGAGCTATTCCTTCATTTGTGGGTTCCATATCTGCATCATTCAGTTTTATGTGATGGCACATGATATGCGATTTTTCACACATCCATGAAAATATGATGTACAGTTTATCATACTAATTTATAATGTCTGTAAACTTCTGCTTGACAGGATTTTCAACACCAACAATCTATGGGTCAAGCTGTCCTCCATAAAGAGACTGATTGAGGAGAAAATGTTGGACATGGAAGTCATCGTCAACAATAAGGTATGTTTATGGTTACGTACGTAATGAGATGTGCAAAGGGGTTTCTATGCAGACGCACATTTTGTACGTAGTGACCAGAGAAAATGCTACTCATCAAGTTTTTTACCCACTGACCACAAAGTAAAGTGTGTATGAATAATGATATCATGGCACTGTCATTCAATGTGGTTAGTGCCAGGTGTATTATTTACCAGCTGATACAAGCCCTCTCTCTGAATTGAACATTTTCCAAGACTATTGTCAGGAGAATGACAAATTTGGCTCGTGCAGTAAATTCCACCTGTTGGATCCTTTCATCACAGAAAATGCTACATTTTTTGTCAGTGAAAAGCCAAGTTCAGACTTGTACGTTGTCATTTTTCTTTGTTTCAGTCTCTGGAAAATGGAACTAATGTTATCCAGCTTGAGACAGCTGTGGGGGCAGCCATGAAGTGCTTTGATGGGGCCCTTGGTAAGTTCTGAGGGGTCAGTCTTCTTTTATTTCATTTTTTCACCCCAGAAGGATGCTACTCCCTCTTTACTTATCTTAGGAGACGTCATTACAGTGATGGCACCACACTCACACATGCATTCTTAAACTTGAGGCCTGTGCGCATGCATTTGGGCTGGTCATAACAAGTATTCAGTGTGCGCTTGTCACCTGTACACGAGTTTGATGCCAGTAATAGTTCTAGTTCTGTTTTACCACCTGTAGGATGTCACCTCACCAATCTTTGTCCTCGGTAAAGCTACAACCTTTGTGGTACTTTGGACAGAAGTTTTTTTTTTGCTGATTGACTAAATTTACTATAATGACAAAAACGAAACGTTTTTCTTCTCAAATTGTCACATATAATAAAGTTAAACAGAATACTGTTAAATGAAAAGGAAAACCCTGTCTGTTGGATGTGAAGCAACCAATACCGTGTGAATTTTCAAACAAAAAAAGCATGATCTGGACAGTGTCTAGCCATAGCAGTAAGATTCTACTCAAGTTTACAAAGCAGATACACACGATAGGTGATTCTGATAGCATTCTGGAAGCGCAGAGGATGATATCCTTGCCTTTAACCTGAGGTGTAGGTACATGTATCAGTGTAAGAAATCTAATGTCTATCAGCTTATCACAGCAATTCTGAGAAGTGACTATGCTTTGTTAATCTGTAGCATTTGTATGAAGGCTAATGAATTGCCAAGGTGAAATTGTTCACGTTCCTTGCTCCGATCTGCAGGTGTCAATGTGCCCCGAAGTCGTTTCCTACCAGTCAAGAGGTCATCCGATCTCCTGCTGGCCATGTCCAACCTCTACTCCCTGAAGGCGGGTAGTCTAATTATGAGTCCCCTGCGACAGTTCCGGACCACGCCCATCGTCAAGCTGGGAACCCACTTCGACAAGGTATGTTGGAGTGTTCATGGCCCATTCCACGGCACTGTGTTGTGGTTTGAATCCACAATGTGCAGATTGAGTCATACCTCCAAAACTGAACCTATTTCTTAATTGTCGTCTTCCCAAGATCACCCGCCTGGCAGAGAACAGTTTATAACTGATAAGTTTTTTTTTGTATGTGTAGCCCGTTAAAATTAATACTAAAGAAATGAACAGTGCATTGGATCCTGGCTTGGTATTTTTCTATAAATCCTGCCTGTCATGGTTTAGGATAAATTTTGGAATCTTGAAGTCATGGGGTTCGTGGAGGTCTCATCAGACAATATGAACTATGAATCGGCTGAGTTTTACTCGTGTTCCAGAAGAAGTTGTCATTTCTTTAGCTAATTCAAATATAAGTCTGGGAACAGTGAGGACGGATTTAAATGCTTTATCATTTTAGGGAGGATGATAGCTTGGGGGTTGGGCAGTCTTAGATGGGAGGGAGGATGTGAAGGCCAGTGTCTTAAGTGAACAAAAGGATTGGCTCTGCCCCTCCCTTTGGACAATTACTTCTGCCTCTTAAAAGTCAGATGACTAATTGTAACCTTCTTGGTCATGTGCATGTACTGTCCCGCCCTGGTGTGCAGTAGATGGATGAGAGAACAAGAGCACGTAGATTTGATGGAACAATCATTCTTGAACATGTTGAATGCAGGTTCGAGATTTCCTGAAGCGATTTGATGGCATCCCTGACATGCTGGAGTTAGACCACCTGACAGTGTCTGGAGACGTCACCTTTGGCAAAGGAATCTCCCTCAAGGTTGGTAGCATCCTTGACCCACAGGGCATGGCTTGTTTGATGCTTGAAGCTTGAATACATGTAAATAAAATTGGGGAGTTGTTGAAATGGGAAATTGTTGTCTGCAGGGCTGGATTATCCAGACCCATGCGAACACAAACATATTGTTTTAAGACTTAGCCTCTCAGTTTTTGATTTTGGAGAGGCTTAAAAACATAGCTTAGTACAGCAAAGTACCAATGCGAAATGCAAGGCCCCAGTGCCAACCACTATTATTAAATCAAGACTGATGATGGCAAGGGTGGAATATATAAAACTTATGGAACAATGGGCCCATGGAATGCTAGTCAGCCTTGGTTGCCTATATTGTGCCTTTCCACCACGGTGAGCTGACAACTAGAAGGTAAAAACCTAGAAACATCGTACCCAATTCAGACATTGTCCTTACATCTAAGATGGCAGACAATAGATTATGAGAGAGGTGTGACACATAGACTTTTCTTACAGACAGTGGCTGCCATTTTGTGGCCAGACTATGCAGAATGTTCACCTTGGTTAGCAACAACTCTTGCCTCAAAATGGACGTAGTACTTCATTAGTGTGAAAATGGGCAGCATTGTCATGCAGTATTTTGTCGACTTCATTTGTTTGGAGAATTTAAATGCCTGCATGATAAGCCTGTTCGATATGACAATATTTCACGATATTTCGATATGATGTAGATATCAGATATTGTATCATTTGTAAAAACACATATCGGGATATCGTGCAAATTGATATGCTGAAAATTATGGCGCTAGGCCCCAAACAATGTACGTACTGTACATGCACACAGGGAAGTCAATGCACCCCTGTTGAGCCGTGCATTATTGCATTTAGGCCACACAAATACCCCATTGAAAACCATAAACCACAAAGTCACTGTTGGCCCCAGCAGCTGCAAGGGTTTTACAAGTATTAGGGGGCAGAATCAAACCAACAGGCTGTACGCGTGTGCAATATGTTGCACAGTAAACTCCAGCTACATGTAAGTCGGCTCTCTCACTTGGGACTCGAGATGGTCATACCACGCCGCGTGCCGCACACGTACACCACCAAAACTCAACTTTGTCTCCGTCTCAGGCTCCGTCTCCAAAACCAATTCCCGATTGTAGGCCTGAAGCATTTCAATTAAATTGAAGTACTGTAATGTTTGGCTCTTTTGCATCTTACTTGATGTTTTGTGCCACTATCAAACTTGCTATTGCGCTTACAACTTCAAAGTTAGGTAGTAAAAAACAGTTGAAGCCTCAACGGAGATGAAGTCGAGTATTGGAAAACAGCCTTACATGTTAAGTTCGTTCAATAAGGCAACCCCCAAAATAGACAGAGCGCATGCATGTAGCCCGAGAGGGGTCCCTGGTATTGATGTACTCAACCACGTGCATGCCACAGTCAAGCAGTGTGGGGCTTTTCGCTTGACGCTTCTAGGCACCCATGGCGAAGGAAACCGATACTGAAGCGTGATATTTTTATTGCCGACTTTTTTTGTGGTCTTGTAGAAAAGGGACCGAGTGAAACATGCCGACTAATGAGAAATAAATGACGACTTTGAAATGAGGTGAGGGCATCAATACCACTGTACCAGTAGCTCCTCTAGTAACACGCATGTGCTCTGTCCATTTTGGGGATTGCCTCATTGAGCGAACTTTACCACTAATGTGTGCGGGTAAATGGCTTTTTCCGTACGGTGCCATGATATGATATATGATAATTTAATGTCCACAATTTCCATGTTGAAATTTGCTTTCCACCAGCATATAAGAGTTCTAAATGTAGAAATAATGCACTGGCCTGTACGTCGGTTTTTTTTTTCTTTTTTTTAACGTGGTACTGGAGACATGGTGATTTCGGTCGTGTTTATTTTATGAATGGAAAATGACATCATCAGGATAATATCAGATATCACGATATTTTTTCATGATATCGCAATATGAAAAGAACTGAATATCGAACAGGCTTACTGCATGAGATGTTTAACACTGTGAATGATTTTATTGGTTTTATACCCTCTGCTGACTGTAGATTTACCAACCAGCAGTTGGTAGAATTGCCCTAAGTATGGTAGTACAAGAAAAGTCTGTCGGTTAAAGAGCATCTCTAGAAAAGTGTATAGTTTTCTTTTTGCTGCAATAGATCTTCATTGTTTTTCGATGTCCTCTTCAATTATTTAACAGGGAACAGTCATCATTATTGCTAACCATGGCGACAGAATAGACATCCCACCTGGAGCCATCTTGGAAAACAAGATTGTCTCTGGTAACCTCAGGATCCTGGACCATTAACCCCTCGTGCCCGTGTATCCTACTTTACACCCCAAGAGGAGGGTACCAGACTTCTTGTTCAGTGTTTGGTATTCTTTGGGTTTCTCTTTTTCAGTACATGAAAGTGAAACAGCTGTGCCACTGAATAATATGGAGTAAGGCAGGCTCATATCTGGTGTCAAAACAAATACCAACATGAAATCGAGGCATGATTAAATACTTTTGCTGTGTATTCACAGAAGTTGAACACATTCAATTTGCTGCAGTTTCACATTTGCCTGAAGTATGAACCATCCTGTAGCAAGTTGGTTTCACTGATCTTCACTGCAGAAAGGAGGACTGGCCTTCATATAGCCGGACACTAACTCAAGCAGTAATGTATATGTGTAGCATTAACTGCTAGTCTTTTTTTTTCTTAGCATAAAATTGGCACCTATAGCCTAAATTGCTTGATTGCAGCTGATTAAAGTGAATGAAATCTCCAGCGTTATGAAGATGGAAGGGAGTACTGCTCTCTAAACGAAAGTGATTGTCGCTGGAATCCAGCTTCAGTGGTACCATACAGGATTATGTCTGCTACGAACATTTTAGACTTAACCTTTGATCCGTCTTTATAATCAGCAGGTGGCTTTTAAAATGTTGGCCTCAGTGATATGGTATTTACAACTAAAAGAGAAGTCAAAAGGTTTTCATGAAAAATAAAAACACCTGTTTGGAATGATTGTGTTTGAAGTACATCTTGCACATGCATGACATCTGTTTATCCTATTCACAAATTCAGTATTTTCTGTGCAAAGCATAAATAACCACTAACATAGTTCATTAAATTTTGACACCTTTAAAGCCCAACTCCAACGGTCGTGAAAAAAATGGGGAACACAGTTGAATATACTCACGTGGCATCTAAGTAATAAGTTATATTTGTAAAGGGGCACTGTGACTTCTGAATAAATATTAACAATGCGATAAAAAAAATGGATCAATTCTGCTGGTTTTTCAAAAATTTCCACGTTTATACTGTTGGTGGCGCTATGGAGAAATACTTTTTTCAGTGACCTACTGCCGTGGAAATGAAAAACATCATGACCTCGCAGGACCTGGTTTCCTGGATATGTTTTCGTACAAAGGCCAGCACACCTGAGCTGCCAGCCTCGCCTGACACTTTTTTCGGAATAAAATAACAAAATAAAAAACATTGAAAACATCTGTCCTTCACTCTGAACTTACCAAGCCATATTTATCAATTGATCATGGTCTCCTTCACCGCCTCGTTCACTAGCAGTGGCCCCATCATCAGCCCGATCGGGATCCCGTCAGTGCTCCGGGGGCACGATGGGTTCAAAGGGGTACGGCTCTGCGCCTCGTACTTGGGAGAGTGTATAACTGTAACTACACACGTTACTATACTACATGTAATTATGTGCATTGACCTGACCATGCCTGCTCAGTGTGTACATGCACCAGCTGGAGAACTGTTTTCACGGTGCTAAGTCGATAAAATCCTGGAAAAGCCGTATTCATGAGATGTAAATGAAGTGATGGCGACATGCTCCTTTCACGAAAGCTAGCCATGGCGCTTGGCAGAAACGGGTCTCATAAGTGATTTTTTTTAAACCAAAAAATATTGCTGAATCCAGGTTTATGTGGTATAAATGTCTATAATGGGATCCAAGTAAACATACTACGGCCAGATTTCTTATTTTTTCCACCGTTGGGCTTGCTCTTTAAACGAAATAGCATTTGTTTAAATCCTTCCTTTGTGCAGATGTACCTGTTTCCTTCTGTAAACAAGGAACTGAATGAATACCTGTGAAAATACCCATTGAGCTGTCTTTCCACATCCGTGTTTCAGTCTTCTCTGTGTCTGTAACATGATTAGGCTTATCACAAAAAGGACTCAACAACATGTTATGAAAATGCAGCGTTCATTGTCTTTTTTTAAAAGAAGGTTTTTCCTCCTAATGGAACACTGAATTTTGTACTGACTCTAAAAGACCAAGGTGCTGGGATTATGCTGCAGAGGTAATATTTTTAAACTTCCAGGAAAGTGTGTGCAGGACAGTGTGTGTGGACAAATCAGTAAACCTTAAAATCCAATTCACTGCCGATGGGTTCCTTCCTGAAATACTCTGAATTAGTAAAAGTGAAGTTGGATCCTCCTTAAGGCTTGTCCATTCATGACATGAAGTGTCATAAAATTAGGGTATATATTTGCTTGACCGGTCTTAAACATGTGTTTAAGACTAGCTCAGGAGACCAAACGCTGATAACGCCCTCGCCAGACCAGCCAAGCTCACATTTATTCCCATTCATTCATACCGTTTTTAGTCAGAGAGTCAAAAGAAGGCAATACAATGTGTATGGTGGATTTCCACGATTTTGTTTTAAAATTTTACTTTCATTTTCCTTGTTTAAGTTGTCCAAAAGAATCTCCTTTTATGGACTTGACTCTCAACCAATCAGAATCAATTATGCTGTCTCGTATCCAGTTAACAGCACGTGAAATTCACAGCAGGCATTATCAAATGTTAAGACACAGTCAAGTTGCACCTAGTTGAATAGGGAGACTGTTTAAGGTATTTATGAATAGTTATATTTCTCCCGTGTTTTACTTTTTTTTTGATGTGCAGTGCACTGGGGTTTAGTATTATTTAGAGAGGCATCTACATTTTCAGTTTGCATTTTACATCATTATTTATTTCTTTGTTCTCCCTAGCCTTTCATTTTGGGGCTGAGGCTATTGCTAAAAGAAGATACATCTTGTGTCAAGAGACAGGAGGGTATGCATGTACCAAAAAAAATCATCACTGGGGGGTGTGATGCATTAGCATTGCTGAGTGCATGTGTAGTGGTCATTTTTGCCCTTGTAGAGAGTTACGAGGTTGTGCTCGTCCCCTACCCTGCCTTGAGAGATGAATAAAGCTGATTCCCTAAAGTTAATTGTTCATTTCAAAGACAGCTTTTCTTGCTTTCCACTTTAGGGAGTGTCTGAAAGCATTGGAAGTTCCTTTTTTTGCCTGGAATACTATTTGGCAAGTTTTATTTTCCTAACGAGCACGTGCCGGGAGTGTGCCCCTTTAATACAGCTAGATTGTGTGCTTGTATGCCTGCAGGAAAGTGACCAGATTTCCCATTTGTTAGCCTTTTGTGAGTTAACTTTGAATAAATCTGGCACACATAGTTCTCTGATTGCACATACATTGTAGATATAACAATTTGGGTACAATGTTGGTATACCTCGTGATTTGGGCAAGCTTTTGCATGGTGACCACCATGTCTGGAATGGACGGGGTCCTTTGTGTCCTTACCATTGAAAACAGTGTTTTGGTGGAAGGCGTCTGTTATGTAACCAAGCAAAAGCTTGCCCGAATCTCAAGGTATAGCAACAGCGTCTTTAGAATGGAGAACCAAATTTTTATGTCCATGTGAATTTAAGGAACTGCAAATTTAACCCACAAAAGGCTTATTGGAACAGGTATTATGTCCATTGCAGATGTTAAAAGGGTTTCCTCAGATGTGATTCTAAACACTCCATACGTTTTTATTCATCCCACATGGAGAGTTATTTTTGTATAGCGTAGAATTAGTTCGGTTCAAGATTTAACTGTAAGTGTTGAGCGGCATATTGGAAACTATAAATTTACATATCCAAAGAAAATGCATAATATGTCAGTGTTTTGGGTATTAAATGCATGTCGTATCTTCCCTTCTGAATAAAACGACGTAGTCCTAAAATCTAAAAATTTGTTACTGGTGTTGTGACTGTGGTTCGTTTTGTGTCTGAACACTATGCAGTTTGTGTTTGGCCCACTGGGTTGGAGTCAAGTCTGATTTATAATATAAGGTGAATACAACCCCATGCCGTAATTGAAAGAGACGAGGCAGGGGAAGATGTCCGACAGGTTTCACCGAAACCTAATTCGCATATCAAATAAGCATACTTCACTTAAAGAAGCGATAACTGCCTAACCTCCTTTATCAAGGATGAAATCAATGTGATCGTCAATTATGTAACTCCTCTGATATAATAAGTATGTGAATCCAGGTCGGAGTGTCCAGTAGGCAACAGCAAAGCAAATTTTCTGAGAAATATACTCTGCATTTTTATTTGTTTCCAGTGTGTCCTTGTTTGTGGTCAAATGAACATTCTGAACAGCAGGTGGGGTACTTGTGCTTGAGATTTGAAATGCATTGTTTGCTATTTAAGAGTAGACATGTTGTCAGCAGCTTAAACAGAACAAACACTGGAATGGCGAAAAGAATGAACAGGCTCGTAATGAAGAATGTAAGGTATAAGTACTGTAAACCGAACACGCAAACGCCGCTATTGTAAAGAATATACCCTTCATTCCATTGTTTGCCATTTTCGTTTTGTTTTCCGTTCTGCTGAGTAATATATATCCCAAAATAGACTAGGATTTCTCAGACAAATTCCAGACCTTTAGTTCCGGGATCAGAAAAGTTCAGGGCAAGCCTCCAGGGTAAATGGAGCCGATATAGCATGCAAAAAAACCCTTAACAGCCGAGGGCTCCGGAATCCGACTCCTGGTGATAAATGTAGGCCTATTTAATTAAAAGAGCAAGCCCCTTCCAGTGTCACAAAATGGCACACGATCTCTGGTCACGTAAGGGAAGCCGTTTCCAAAAAAAATGTTTGAGTTGTATCACAACACAACTGGATCGGCAATGTTCAAATGATATGCTAGATCTAGGGTCGGATTGATTAAAAGATAATAAGGACGGTCTCCCAACTTTTTCCGCCGAATTGCCTTCTGGTGGGATTCGACTGATCTTAAAGTGGCTATCGTCTCAGAAAGGTTGAGTAAGGTTTGCGCGGTGAAACTAGTACGTCTTTCTCCGCTTTTCACCTCTGCGGCCCAGGTTCAATTCCCGGCTCATTCTACTTTTGGATCAGGTTTTCAGTCTCTGCATCATTCTGTGGAGTTTTTATACAGAAAATGCTATCGGCTTCTGCAGTCTGGCCTTCCGAGCATTTTCGTAGATTCTCTCGATTGAGTTTCCATGCGTGCACAATCGGGAGGTAAAATCATAGGGTCGCTCTGGCTGTGGACAAGTTAGTGTCAGCAACATGCCTTAAAATCTATTAAACAAGGCAGCGGTATTGTTTCGTAGTGTTCTGTTTCAGGTAGTTCTTTGATGCCTATCAACTGATTCTGTGATACCGTTGTATTGCCAACTTAGGTCAACCGTGAAAGTCACTTGTGCTTCAACTCAGCGAATCGGCACAAATATTCCAGAGACTAAGTTACTCTCACAAGCCATTCCTTGAAAATAAATGTTACAAATTGTAAGACCACACAGTTCTTTACTCTGATACCATCATTAGAGCCAGTCTGGGTACATGATGATGGAATAGACGTATCAACTCAAGAACTCGGTCCATGTAAAGGCTCTAGGATAAGGTAACTTTTGTTCAGGTTTACTGTTCCGTAGCGTTATACATTGCGAAAGACCTCAAGTTTGACTGGGGGTCTGAACCAACAGGCCCTACTCCGATTTTCCACGATGGACACATCAACGCTTCGCCCGTTCTCTTCGCCAAGTGTCCTTGATATCCAAGACCAGATAATGTCAAGCCTTTTGACAGAGTTAGTGAAATCCACCACTGACTGTCCTGATGTTTTCATGAGACAGTCTGGGAAGCGAACTTTTCCCTAGAACCTAAGCCGCTGCAGCGAATAAATAAGGTCACTTTTGGGGAAAGAATTCGGATCTGAGATCGTGGGAGAAAAATAAATCGAAGATATGATCGAGAAACCGAATGTGTACTCCCGTCGTGTACAGAAAGCCTTGCGAATTAACGAAGCTGAATCTGTTTTGCTCCGTGAGCGATTACATCACTTGGAAACTCAGCGGAGACTCATGACACTACGTACCGAGAACCGACAGGAGTCACTCCGCAGTGCGCTTCGCTCCATCCGACAAACCACGGGGACTCTGTTCCCCCAAGAGCCCGATCCACAGGAGCACTCAAGGGTGACTTTCTTCTTGTACGGTGCCCCCGTTGCCCAGGCCAACAGACATCTCCGGTACCCATACCGTCACGTCTTCATTAGGAACGCGAGGCCTCGAGAAACGGGCATTACATCGCCCAACTGTGCTTGCCAGCCGTCAGTCCGTCGACACGGCTCAGAGCAGCACATCAGCGCCCGGGGTTGTTGCTCCTGCCGATGCCAACCGTTGCGCCTGCCGGAACTGCCCCGAGCGGAGCCAGGATTCAGCGTGTACTTCTCGGAGATGTCTGCTGCAAGTTCTTCATCACCGACACCATCATCAGATTGGAGGAAGACCTCTTCTATGGCAGTGCCTGCAATAAAGAAAAGATGATGCATCTCTTACGGGATTACATTCTGCATGCAACAAGTCTCTTCTGTGTTTACGAAATTGTCAACTAGTCAATTGGCTTCTAGTATAAGTTCGCCATTAAATCAAATTAAAACGTCAATTATCATAAACCTGAACCCGTATACTTCAACTTTTGAATTGCAATTCGCGAGTCTTCGGCTGCGTCCAAACTAAAAATCTCGGCCTTGAGGTTTTCGGGGGAGCTCTGCAGTCTGTAACGAAATTAACTGTGAGAATTTATGCATCTAAATTTACACCATGTGTAAAAAGTTACAGAGGCGTCACGAAGTCAAACTTCAAGGTTTGGCACATAAGCACACGGGCGGATCCAGGAATTTTTTTGGGGAGGGGATCAAGCCGGAGATTTGTTGGTGTTGGTGCACCTTTGAACTCATTCGTAATTTTTTATTATATTCTTCATTTCTTTAACTTTTTGTTTTGTCTCAGAGCGGAGGGGTGTGTTCCAACCCCCACGCCCTGGATCCGCGCCTGAATATGATTGCACGAAGTATATTGGTTCTAGCAATGTAAATACTTTTGTGCTACAGCCTTCATTAGCCATGGAGCACCTGTCTGCCCTATAGCTTGTATTATATTGCCAGGCGGGTTAATTTTCCATGGTTTGAGGTAGCCCTCGTAATTAAAACAAAAGAATAAATGAAAAAAATATTTAAACAAAAAAATTAGAAATCACCATTATGACTACAATTACTATGCCCTGTTCTAGGGACTGATTTCCATGTTCGTTTGAAATCAGTAAAATGGAATAATTTTGTGAGTATCCGCCTCGAGCAGCCCCCTCCGACTATGCACAAATCTAAACGAGAAAAGTTGTACATGAATTGGTAGTCTAGCAAAGACTTTGCTGTAAAGTGGTATACTCTATAAACCAACCCTGGCGATTCCTTCCCTCATCTCCCGTCTTGATAGGCAGCATACCCAGAATTCGAAGCCATTCTTACTCCACCATGGAGGCGAGTCTAAAAGATGATGGCAAGGGGCGGGTCAAATGTCTTTTTATCTTAATTCCACTATTTTCTTGGGTTTTTCAAGTTCCTAGTTTCGGGGGGGGGGCAATTTCATACGGGGGTGTGTGCCTATCCACCCTGGTTACGCCAATGGACGCCTGGTCAAATTACCTTAATTTAGAAGGGCAGGTTCAGTGCAAGATTTTTGGGGAGGAGATCAGTTGGGGCTAAAGTTAGGAGTTTCTTTTTGTAACCTTTTATGGCCTTTTTTCACATGTTGGGAAAGGAATGGAGCTGAAATATTTGTCAAATTGCCCTCGGGGGAGGAACATGGCTGGCCCTTTTTGCCCTCTTTTAATCCGTCAGTAAATAGTCGCAACATTTCTGCGAATTGATTCAAATACGAACTAGCACTCAATCAGGCTGACAACATGATATATCCCTGTTGTGGCGGTCTGGATAACTGCACAATCTGTATTACTCCCACTATCCTTTCTTGGCTTGCAGCGTGATCACAAGTACTGACGACCATGACAAGAAGCCCGGGCCGAGGTCATTTATGAAATTATGCCTGCGGGTCTATTGCAGCTTTTAAAAAGTCCGTGTATTATGTTCTCATCGGATTGAATTTGTTATTATTGAGCGCTCAGGTTTAGGAATAATTCAATTCGAAGAAAGTAGACCTTTTTTCTCTTTCAGTTAAAAAATAGAGCGAAAGCCGGTTTCATTGTCTTTGGAATCCTCTTGTGTTAAATACTGCCCTCTGAAGCTCGAACATGTCAAAGCATTTTAGTCAGATACCCTGTTTCAATTGACCTAGACTTCATTTCGTTCTATGTGGCAGTGTTTTATTGGATAAAATATTAGCGCCTACTGTGCAGGTAGGGCACTTTGAACCAATGGGCATAAATCTTTCATTCATATTGTTACGTATCATTTTGCCAGTACAAAATCGTGCAGTACTCTGGCATTACGAAGTCACGTACGTACCGTGTATTTTATCATGTACAATGTCGCATGAGCCCTATGTTATGTATGTACACACGTATACCGGGATGGCATGTACCTCTGTACCTGTATGTTTACTTCGATTAGTTAGGGGTGATTGTTGCATTGTAAATGATTTTTCACTCTAAATTAAACAGGTTAAGCTCATTAACCAATGTGGTCCCGTATTGATGGTTATTGTCAGCTCTGCCATGTCTGTCGTGTCTGTTACTAGGTGCCCTCATTCATTGACACAATGAAAACTGAAGATTTAATCCAAAGAGTAACCGTTGCCTGCCTGTGCTGCCTTCTCTGTATCGGTAAGTAAAAATTTGAACAATTGAATTATTAATGCTAGGACCTGGGGACATTTACCATTCTATAGTATGAATTTTGTTTTCCTGTTCCTGATGGTTAACATTTCATGATTAGGCTAGGCCTATGGAGCACCAGCCAGTCCATGGATCAGGTTACACAATCTTTTCTTTGATCATTGCGCGCGCTCGTTGCAGTTGTTTTCACCGGTGTGGTGTGGTTGCTACCCGGAATTGTGTGAAACTCCCAGATGTTCCTGCTGCCCCATAGCCTACCTTGTGAATTTCGTAAGCACCTGGCTAGAGTTGGAAATCATTTTTGAAATTCAAAGAGTGATTGGCCGAGTCCTAGAACTCAGAGTGCCTCACATTTCCTCACTTTCAATGGGTTCATAATGGGATTTTGATTACAGCCCATTTATGACTCTTGAAATTGCACTTTCTCAATCAAATCTCCCCCATGTACGGTATATACTTCCATTAGTAGAGACAGCGACCAATCCAATGACACAACTTCATTCCCATGGTTACAATCTTGCTGTACCATGTTGGTTCCCCAGTGAAGGAACTCGCACGCAGCATGGACGTTTATAATAAGATTATATACGTACCATCTGTGGCATGCAGCCAATAAGCCTTATTGTTGATACCACATGAGTGACATTGCCCCCTTTTCCTTCCCACAATGCCTTTCTACCATTGTGCCAAATCACCCATGCGGTATCAGCAATAAAGCTTATGGAGTCGAGGTTACCAATGATACGATGCATGCATCGCAAGTCATTGGACTGGTCGCCATCCCTATTATATACGTTCAGTGGACTGGGAAGGGACAGGAACCAGTCTTCCCTGTCATAAACTGCCGTAGTGTGCAGCTCAATCAATCTGCATGCTGTCCAATAAGGTTATGCTCTGTATGACTTTCTTCCATTTGGTGTCTTCTTTTAGTTTCTTTATTGTCTCAATTAGATCCTATCTTTACTTTTCCTACAGGTTTGCCTTTTCTTTGGTAGATTCCGTCTCCCTGGAGGATTTGTAAGGGAAATAAAGTCCGAGATTAATTTGTTGTAGACTGGTCTGGTACCCGTTTGCAGTGCACTAGACTGGCACAACAAAAGTAGACTGCAACCTGTCTAAACTTCCATAACTGTAGCCACTGCATAATAAAAAAAATAATTGTCATGGTTGCAAGTGTCATTATGGTCATGATGATGTGTAATGTAATGTAAAAACATCTAATCTCGTCTAATGTAATCTGTAGGGTATAAATACTGTACTGTAGCTGCAGTGTCTAAATGAGTAGCAAAATGGAAAGATAAAGGTATCATATGCGTAACAACGTGGATTTCATTCTGTGGGTTTCTTTTCATTCCAGAGAGATGGTATTTCCTCCCTCTCAAAAATTGTTGATTTTTCAAACGATTTATTTTCAGCCAGGACTTTAGTTATGGCAGAAAATGCCCATAGTGCATAATTTGTATTTTGTTTGAGCTTCCTTGTGGAAAATAATTTCAAACAATTTAGTCCAATTAGAAAAAAATGATCAGCTCCAATAATAGGGTGGGAAAATTGTCCGGTTGTTGCATGTAAAATTGTTAAAAATAAACTTTGTTTGGACCATTGCGCGCACAGGAGTTGATCATTTTGCTGGTGCAGACCAAGTCCAGCAGACTACACAACAGCAAGATCAGCAGCAACAACAGCAGCGACAGCAACAACAAATTTACAGAACTGGGGAGAGCAGCCCAAAGTCTAGCCAGAATAAACATGGAGATGTCAGGGCAGCTAGTCCCGCACAAGATGGACAGCTGAACCAAGAAATAATAAATCAGGAAACCTCAAATGAGAGGACTGGTGCTCCTGGTGGTCAGAGCCAACAGCAGCAACAACAACAACAGCAACAACAACATCATCAACAGCAGCACCAACCTATTGTGCAGTCAGAAAAAGCAAACCGAAAATCTCAAGCAGAACACCAATCCCAACCCACTGGTTCAAACATTCCACAACAGCAGCCGGTTATTCAACAGCGAACACCACAGAACCAACAGCAGCAGTGGCAGTCACAGACGCAGGCTGTTAACCAACAACCTAATGTGGACACAAGGACTGCACCACAGCAGACTTCTCAGCCCACCCAGGTTAATGGAAACTTACCGCCAAGCTCATCCAGTGATCAAGGCACTGGCCAATCAGTAAACACAAATCAGAAGGTTCAGACAGATCAGAGATCTAACACCCCAAATCAACAAAGCAATACCAATGCCCAACAGCAAGCAGCTGGCCCACAAAGTGTGCCTTCCAAAACCGAGACAAGTGGAGGTATCCCATCCAAGGAACAAATGCTCAACCCTGAAAAATTAGAGCAGTTACACGAAGAAACGGAACGGAGGTTGCAGATGCTGCAACAGAAGCATAAGCAGCAACAGGAAATATTAAATAGGCAAAAACTGCAGCAGCAACAAGCACAGCAGCAACAGCAGCAACATACTCCTCAACAGTCTCCTCAGCACCAGTCTACACCGCCTCAGCATGTATCTCCACAGCAGCAACAGGCAAATGTGCAGCAACAAGCACAGCAGCAACAGCAGCAACACACTCCTCAACAGTCTCCTCAGCACCAGTCTACTCCGCCTCAGCATGTATCTCCACAGCAGCAACAGGCAAATGTGCAGCAACAAGCACAGCAGAAACAGCAGCAACATACTCCTCAACAGTCTCCTCAGCACCAGTCTACTCCGCCTCAGCATGTATCTCCACAGCAGCAACAGGCAAATGTGCAGCAACAAGCACAGCAGAAACAGCAGCAACACACTCCTCAACAGTCTCCTCAGCACCAGTCTACACCGCCTCAACATGTATCCCCACAGCAGCAACAGGCAAATGTGCAGCAACAGGCCGTTAATCAACGACAGCATGTTCAACAACAGCATCCCCCACAGCAACCACCACTGCAACAGGGTCAACCTGTACAGCAACAGCAGCAACAGCCCAACCCTGCCCAGCATCAGCAACAACGGCAACAGCAACCTCCTCAGCAACATGCTGTGAATCAGCCGCAGTCCTCATCGCAACAGCAACAGACGCCACAGTCACAGCAACAGCAACAACCTTCAGTCAACCAGCAACCTCCCAGTCAGCATGTGCAGCAGCCTCCACAGCAAGTACAACAGCTTCCTTCTCAACAGCAACAACAACAACAGCAGAAGGAACCACCCAAGGTACAGGAACCTCCTAAATCCACACAGGCACAGCAAGCGCAGCAGCCAGTCTCACCACCTACACACCATCAACAACAGCCTCCAGTGCAGCAGCAGCAGCAGCAGCAACAACCAGCCTCTCAACAACAAGGTAATGCAGCAACAGGCTCAAGTCCAAAGTCGTCAGCATCCAAGATAGCCGGCACAGTGGAGGATGGCAGTAAAGATGAGTTTACCCCAATGCCCCTAGCAGCACCACCACTACAGCAGCCAAAGATTGAAGGTATGCATAATATACATGGGTGTTCTTTAATGCCATGTGCAATGGACACATGTACATGTAGCTGATATAAACAATTCTTTACCATTATTCATGTTATTCTAAGACTTTTGCAAGGATGTGAGAATTCATCTTCTTTGCTGATTTCAGCATTTTTCGTTCAGACTTTTAGCTTGTTTCTGAATTTCAGCTTTTTTGTACACCCACTGTGTACAAAAAAGGGTTAACTTTTTAAATTTCAGCTTTTTTTTCCCGACTATTTTCAGCTTGTTTTGATGTTGCCATGCAACCTCTGGTTTTGTAAACTATGAAAAATATGTTGTCTTCACAGTTTTTACATGATATACTGTTTTTTTCATATTTTAATTTTATGATTCCCAAATGGCCTAGTTGCATCAAGATGAAGGTTTTACCTCAGGGCATGTATTAAAAATGCTGTGTATTTCATTGCAGTCAACAAAAACCCCCACTTCGATATGCCAACAGAGAATGTACAAAACAATTCACGTTATCACTTCAAATAACGAGCAGGAGTGTACAGTTGTATGAGATGGCCAGACCTTAATGTTGCTTTTAGTCTGAGTATAGTACCCTTACTGCCCACACAACAAACATGACATTGATGATATTATTGGTGCATGGTTCTGAAGTTTTTTAACACTTCTACTGTCATTATTTTTTCCCCAGATGATGAAACATTGTTTGGAAAAAGACCAGAAGATCCCAAGGAAGCTGAAATTTGGGAAAAAGGTGATGTGAACATTTAATACAAATGTTACCACTTTCTATTGTAATAACAATGTCAGCAGCGGTATGGCCCTTGTGCCATTCTCGTGGGGATATAACATTTTTTGCTTTGAAGGATATCGAAAAATATGGCATACAATTTTTTCTGGGGTGAAAGGTCATGTCATTTGCCTTTACTTCCAAGATCATATCATCATCAAAACAATCAGAGAGTAGCAGAGTAGCTGCATTTTTAATTAACACTGCAATAAACAAACTGAACAAATATAATTACCAAACTGAAATTATGTAAACAGCAGGAGACCAGCCAACCTGCAGAATTTTTTATTGGCTCTTTGAATACCCCATTCAGTGTGCCATGCATATGGAACACACACTCCAATTCATTATAAAATTGAAGCCACAGAAGTGTACATTTCTATTACTGTGCATTACAGTGTTCAAAAGAAAATTCTGGAGAAGGAAGTAATTTTGTTTTTTCTTTTTGATGGTTGCAGCTAATCAGATGTACAAGGACGCTTTGCCGTTGATCAATGGGAGCAAAGAGATGATTAAACGGTAAGTAGTCATGGTAGTCTGTTGGCTTCTTCATTCAGGAAGATGATCAATTAATCCTTTGCCTCCAGGTCTGTTGCTCAGAGCCTTTTGGTACATGTATCTTCCAAGTCCTCCTCTCTGAAGGGGACCGCTCTCACATCTCTGTACTGAAAAGTTTCTTTGGGCAGTTTGCCATTATTGATGACCAGGTTCTACGTTTCTAAAATCTCTAAACATTTCTCCAAACGTCCTGGCAGAGTGGTTGATGCTACGGTGACAGAATGTTTTCAAAATGAGGGGAAGGGGGCATTTGTGAGACCATCATTTATCAGCCATTAAAGGACCTGCCACAAGTTGGGGGGGGGCATTACCCTCAAGTTGAAAAAGTGCTCCCTACCCTGCTTCCTGTGACAGTGGGTTTAGTGGGTTCTTTAAATAATGATGTGCTAATAAAATCCACTTCAGGCTAGTTCGCTGCAAACTTTCCAAAGTTTGAGGATTTCCAAAATGCTTGGAAATAAGAATGCCCATCCAAACGTGAAATCGTGTAAATTTCAGAAACACTCTCAAGTTGATTGACAAAAGTGTCACAATTCACCTCTTGAAAACTTGCAATTTGTCCGAAGTGAGATTGCTTATATTTCCTGTACTTTGAGTCAGATTCTAAAAATCAACAATCTTATCATCCTAAAAAGTCTAGTTGAGGTCCAAACTAAACAAAAAGCTGATTTTCTGCTTGTTTTAACCCTAACCCAGCCAGACGCAGCCTTGTGCAGCAGGTGTAAGTCTGCTGCAGCTTGTTGCACTGAACAATTAACATCAGCCCAAAAAGCTGGTTTGGTTGAACAATTCCACCGTTGCACACTGACTGACACAATTAACATCAGCCCAAAAAGCTGGTGTGGTTGAGCAATTCCACCGTTGCAGACTGGCTGGCAGCCACTGTGACAAATAATATGTGTCGGGCAAGGTGTAGTCAAAATACCATGGAGGGCTAGGGTTCATCCAACAGTCATTTTGAAAAGTGTTACAGAGTTTTTCAAGGCCCATCTACTTTCATTTTAACAGTGGGTATGGATTACTAAGGGATGCAGCGTACCTGAACAATGCCAAAGCCCAGGAGTTGGTTGGCTATTCCTACATGGTCGGTAACCATCTACCCATGAACCACAGCGGTGCAGAAGAGATGTTCCTGCGACTTGCTGAAAAAGGGATTCCAAAAGGCCAAACGGTAAGACAAAGGAGCTCCCTCTTCTGCCTGCAAACATCAGTGTTGATGCCAGGCTTTTTTCATTCCTGGATGTGCAGAGTATTTTTAAAGACCAAAAAAATCTGTTGGTCTTAATGACACTCTGTTCCGTGAAGACCCTACACTATGAACATCTAACAAAAGAAGTACAGTGCACTAACAAAGGATGCTCATTGTTCATGCACT